TGGCTCAAATTGCCGACCAATCAGCCTGTTACCAACCCTTAGTAAACTTCTGGAAAAAATGGTGTTTGACCAGATACAATGCTATTTCACAGTAAACAAACTGACAACAGACTTTCAGCATGCTTATAGGGAAGGACACTCAACAAGCACAGCACTTAGCCAATCATCAGTCATTTGTGTGAGAGAAATTGATGATAAAATGATTGGGGGGCTGTCTTGTTAGACATCAGTGCAGCTTTTGACATTATCGATCATAGTCTGCTGCTGGAAAAACGAATGTGTTATGGCTTTACACCCCCTGCTATAATGTGGATAAAGAGTTACTTGTCTAACAGAACACAGAGGGTTTTCTTTAATGGAAGCCTCTCAAACATAATCCAGGTAGAATCAGGAATTCCCCAGAGTAGCTGTTTAGGCCCCTTACTTTTTTCCATCTTTACTAACGACATGCCACTGGCTTTGAGTAAAGCCAGTGTGTCTATGTATGCGGATGACTCAACACTATACACGTCAGCTACTACAGCAACTGAATTTCCTAAACTAAAAGCATTGTATTAGGGACAAATCATTCACTAAACCCTAAACCTCAACTACATCTCGTAATGAATAATGTGGAAATTGAGCAAATTGAGGTGACTAAACTGCTTGGAGTAACCCTGGATTGTAAACTGTCATGGTCAAAACATATTGATACAACAGTAGCTAAGATGGGGAAAAGCCTGTCTATAGTAAAGTGTTGCTCTGCCTTCTTAATAACACTATTAACAAGGCAGGTCCCACAGGCTCGAGTTTTGTCGCACCTAGACTACTGATCAGTACTTGGGAAAATTGCAGTTGGCTCAGAACAGGGCAGCACGGCTGGCCCTTAAAAGTACACGGAGAGCTAACATTACTGACATGCTGTAACACCCTGGCTCTGGGACTCTATATGTTGAGCCAGGGTGTGTTCTTTCTATGTGGTGTATTTCTATGTTGGGAGTTCTAGTTTGTTTATTTCTATGTTGGCCTGAGTGACTCCCAATCAGAGGCAACGAGTGTCAGCTTTTGGCTGGTTGTCTCTGATTGGGAGCCATATTTAAACTGTCTGTTTTTCCCTTTGTGTTTGTGGGTTCTTGTTCCGTGTTGGTCTATGTTACCTAGGACGTTACGAGTCGTTTGTTGTTTTTGTTTACTGTCCGTGTTTATCGCTAATGATAAATAAACATGTTCGTTCATCACGCTGCGCCTTGGTCCTCCTCTCTTAACGACGATCGTGACACATGCATGTAAATCTCTCATGGCTCAAAGTGGAAGAGGGATTGACTTCATCACTACTTGTTTTTGTAAGAGGTGTTGACAAGCTGAATGTACTGAGCTGTCTGTTTAAAATATGAGCACATAGCTCAGACACCCATGCATACCCCACAAGACATGTCACCAGAGGTCTCTTCACAGTCCCCAAGTCCAGAACAGACTATGGGAGGTGCACAATACTACATAGAGCCATTACTAGCATTTCGCTACACCCGAAATAACATCTGCTAAACATGTGTATGTGACAAATAAAATTTGATTTGATTTGACTACATGGAACTCTATTCCACATCAGGTAATTGTTTAAAAAAAACTGGTAAAAATACACCTTATGGAACAACGGGGACGTGAAGAGATACAAACAAAGGTACAGACACATGCATACGCACACGTTGTGATATTGTTGTATGGTGGTATTAAACATTTTGTATTGTAGATATGTGGTGGTGTAATAATGTTATATGAAGAAACTGTTTTATCTTTTGTTTTACATGTAATGTAAGTGCTTGAATATGTTTGGACCCCAGGAAGAGTAGCTGCTGCCTTGGCAGGAGCTAATGGGGATCCACAATAAAAACAAATGAGTATTGAAATCCCCACACCATATTACCGGTCTACTATCTTGACCTTCTACATTCCCAAGGGCCAGCAACTCCAGTCTCATACAAGGGTAGTAAAAGTCCACTACTACCATATTCCCCCCTCCCAACCACACCTCTACCACTACATACTCCTGTTCCACTCCCTCTCCCACACACCTATATGGGATCCCCGCTTTATAAAGGTATCACACCCTCATCCTCCCCCTGCCACCCTATCTCTACGGTCTGCAACATAACCTTGTAATACAAAATCTAGAGTAGGATTTAGCCATGTCTCCTGGAGACATATCACATCAGGTTTGGCTGGTAACTCCTTGAGAAACTGTTTGAACTCTTGCCCATTAGCCATCAAACTTCTGGCATTCCATTGAAGGATTAACACCATAATGCAAATTAACCAAATACATGATTCCTGGCTGGACTGATTCTCAATCTAATTGAGGTCATCCTGTACATTTTCCCATGTCAGTCCTGTGATCCCAAGATACCTCACTGCCTGCTCCACTATGATCTTTATCTTCTTAGTCCTCCATTGTAATTTTTCTGTGCAACTGATTGCTGCTGTCACAAATGTAACAACCTTCCTCATGTCTCCTACCAGTGTTGTGTTCTCCTCCATTCTGCTCCCTCCATCACGCCCAACCTGCATCTCAATCTGCCCTGCAATACCTTCTCTTCTAGGTGCCCCGATTGCTTCTGCGTGAACTACCTTCACTGATTCTGCATAAGAGATGTTACGCTCACTCCTCAACTGCTACACTTCCACCTGTCTTTTCATCACAGTTACAGCACTTTAACTGGACCCCATCTCCACATTCCCCATATGCATGTTCTCCCCCACACTTCTCACATCTCCTTTTGCCTTTACACACCACCGCCACATACCCAAACCTTTGACAGTTATAGCAACGCAATGGTTTCTGAACATATGCTCGCACATAGTAACTCATATACGAAATCCTAACTTTTCCTGGCAATTCCAGATCCTTAAAGTTTAGTAGCGCTGACAAGCTATCCACCTTCTTCCCATCTGGTGTCATCTGGAGACGCTGTGCCTCAATAAGAGAGCCTCCCTTCAAGTGGTCCTTTATTTCTTGCATGTTAACAATTTCTGGAACTCCTGTAATACCTCCCTTCACCCACTTCCGTCCAGTTTGATCCGGCATGCTACTATCAACCACACATTTACATACCTGCTTGAGTTTGAGCGCCTTCTCATACTGTTTAACATTGAAACACACCACCACCAAACTTCTATCACGAAGAACTTAAGCAGACACAATCTTTCCTACTTTACTCTCCAAATCCCTAGCCAACGTGATCGGACTCAACGCCGCGACTCCACCTTGATCCTTAAATTTCACCAACACCTCGAACACCACTTCTTTCAGTACAACGCTGCGACCCGAAACCTCCCTCGTCGCTACTCTCCCCTGACAAGACCTGCAAAGGCTCCTCAGGCTTCCTCTTCTTCTTAACTTTACTCTTATTATACCTTCACCTTTTCCCACTCCACCACTACACTCCATCCCGTCCTCCTCAACTCCTAACCCCCCCCCCTACCTTTCCATCCATCTCTGCTCCAGTCACAGCCCAGTGTTGCTCAACCACCTCCACCAGATTTCCTCTCCGTTTTCGTTTATCTTTGTTCAAATCTATTAACTTAGCTATATTGAATAATCGTCGTTTTTATCTATCCTAATTCACCAAACTCGGACAGTTCTCAGCCGTCCAAACACCGGCTTCAAGGGCATTATCACTTATGTACCACCAGTGTCCTCTGTATGACGACCTGGTACGACAGATTCGAAAGATGGCGGAGGCAGGACGATGAAGTGGATTGTGAATCTAATGGCGGTAGAATCAAGGAGGATTGGAGTCTTGTTCAAAAGAATGGAAAAAGGAGCAAAGTAGAGTACAGCGATGAGAATGTCCCTTTATATCTTGTAGGAGGAAGGTTTGTTAAGGAGCAGCTTATCAAAGTACCAATCTTGAAGAATCCATTTGAGCTATCCAAACTGGTGGAGAGAGTGATGGGTAAAGTGAAGGATGTGAGGATCACGAGAGGCGGGTTTGTTTAGATTTTTTTGTACTTCTGCGGATCAGAAGGAACGTGTGTTGCGGCTCTCCCGATTTGAAAAGTTTGACGTGTCGTGTGTGTCTCTTCGGAACAGGGCACCCCTCAAGGGGGTAATATCTGGCATCTCGTGGGAAGTCGATGTTGCAGAGATGAAAAATATTCCTGGAGTGATTGATGCACGTCGGATGAATCGAGTGGTGAATGATGAAAAAGTGAAGAGTCTATCTGTTCTTTTGTTTTTTGATATGGAGTCTCTCCCTACTCAAGTGCAGTTGGGGTATATAAACTACAAAGTCAGAGCATTTATCCCAAGACCAATGCAGTGTGATCACTGTAAATCTTTTGGTCATGTGTCAAGGGTTTGCAGAAGGGAGAAACCGAGATGTCCAAGTTGTGGAAAATATAATTTAATGTGTTATAAAAGTGATGAAAAAGTGAAATGTTGCAGTTGTGGTGGGAACCATGAAGCCACGTCTTTTGAAAAAATGTTACCCGACAAGGGTAAAATAAAATGAGGTGGCCAAAGTTAGGGTTGTACAGAGCATTTCCTATGCAGCAGCGGTTAAAAGGGTTGAGGGATTGAATGGTACTCCTGAAGAGTCCATTGTGGTGGATAGGCCTTCAATGCAAGCTTCAGGGGTTGCCTTTCACCAAGATGATCCTGACATTTTAAAGGTTAAAAAGGTGGACTTTGTGGCCTTTATCTCAATGGTGATTAATGGCACTGCCAAGGTGGAGAAAAGATCTAGGAAGATATAAATAATTGTGGTTGCAGCGGAAAGGTTCCTGGGGCTGAAAGATTTCTCGGCAAAAGAGTTAAATGGAGTATTAGGGTGGAGTAAGTTAGTATCACTATTAAGTATGGATTTATTTTTAATTTTATATATTTTGTGGTTTCAACCCGTCCAATTGGTGGCGGCAATACAACTTTTGGATGTAGTCCGCCATAAATCCCACAGAAGAAGAAGAAGAAGACGAACAGATACTAGTTATTTTTCACGTCACGAATGACACGTGTATTCAAGATGGCCGCCACGGCGATGGTAAGTGGAAAAGAAGGCAATTTTGTTCTTCAAACATCTGGCCGCTTTCACTGTCTATCTTCAACTAGAAATATATTGTTGTGTTATTTTTTTTCTTCCGAGTTTAATTTATCAAGTGAAATAAAAAGTTATGATTTAACGGCATTTAAATGTGCTGTCTTTCTACATTGTTGGTTTGTCAATGGTGCAGCAGTGGCAGTGCGTGGATGTTGACGACGCTAGCCAGCTGTGTCAAATGTGTTTTCAAGCGTAAATCTACAATACAGTAATGTGCCTATATAGTTACTTAGTTCTTACTGTGTATGTTGATCAGAAAGGAAATGTATTTCGATTAGTTACTGTAGACAGTTAATAGTAATAATTGACAGCGTAGCCCTTGGCTTTGGTATAGCTAGGCTAACGTTATATGTCTAGCCAACAACATACTACAGAAATGTAGCTAGTTAGTGTCTCAATCATAATATAACATAAGCTACGCATACGCTTGCGAAAAGTTGTAGTTACTGGGAATGCGAAGCACGTAGTTTTCATGTGGCAGTTGGCTAGCTAACCATAGCCAGTTTAGCTAGCTAACGTTAGAAGGTTCATGTTAGCTATACCATGGTTCGCTGGCTAGCTAGAATGTGGCTGGTAACTAGCTAGCTATGCATTTCCGCGTTGATGGGGGTATTCTATAAGTTTAGCTAAAGACGATCTAGCGATCTCCTTGCTTAGAGTATCTATGTGGCTTATTTAGTTGACATTTATGTCAAAACAATTTATTAGTAATGTCACCTAACTATTTAGCTAGTTAGCTAATGCTGTGTGGAGATGTTTTCATACTCATTCGTATACAGAGGTAGCTAACTAGCTGGCTAACTAATTAATCATTTGAGGCGAGATTAATACGATAACGTTAACTACGTTGGGTTGTTTGGTTTATTGTTTTTATCAACATTTAACTTTTCAGTGTTAGATGTTTCACTGCTATCGCATAATGATCATCTTCGTCCCCGCCCATCTCCAGAATCAATGCAGAACGGTTATGGTCAGATTATGGTCATGGATAAAGTGGTTTTGTAAGCACTCCACACAGGAAAGGAAAATCAAGTTTGACTGGTGTGCTGTTAGGGCAATGTTTGCCTGCTAAATCTTGTGCTCTCTCTCTGAGTGAAAGGGTTATATAGCCTACACCTGTGTCACTTTCCGTTACCACTCCCTGTTGCTAATATTTAGGATTTATTGCACAGGGCTGGTTTACCAGACACAGATTGAGCTCCTGGACTAAAAAGCACTTTCAATGCAATTTCCCATTCGCAATTTTTTTGGGGGTCCAGTACTAGGTTTAACCTGGGTCTGGGAACCCTGGCTAAGGTGTCCTCCCTCCCCAGCTGTAAAATAATGTATTGTTCAAATATTTGTCATGCAGTGTTATTGTAACACCCTTAAGCATACACTAAATAATCCTCAAAATCATGTTGAAATATTAGGGTGTTTCTATACCATCAGTGGGTTGTGTAGGCCTACAGTCTAGCCACTGTAACTGGTTAGATGCACCATACTGTAGGTCTATGCCAAGTACACTCTCAACATTTTGTGCAAGTGATTGAGCCATCTTGGATTGTGCTTGGTACTGTGCACCAAGAAACCTATTACATTTTAATCTGATTACCATCATGACCTCTCAGGTTGAAAAATGTCTCACCTTACATTGCCCAAAGGCATCTCCACACTCCATTGATTGCTCAATTTCCAAAGTGGGTATGTGGCAACTAGTCTGTTGGTTGTGTTTGTGTGTTACAGGAGACGTGGTTGGCCCTTTTGCTGTTGTCCATGTTGCCTGGAGGAGTCCAGGCCTTTTACGTGCCTGGAGTTGCGCCAATGAACTTCCACCAGAACAGTGCTGTAGAGATTAAGGTAAGCTAAGCAGCCATACATTTGTCTTACTCCTAACCATCCTATGCTTAATCAGAGATTACATTTTACATTTTAGTCATTTAGCAGACGCTCTTATCCAGAGCGACTTACAGTTAGTGAGTGCATACATTTTTATTTTTTATACTGGAATCGAACCCACAACCCTGGCGTTGCAAATGCCATGCTCTACCAACTGAGCTACATCCCTGCCGGCCATTCCCTCCCCTACCCTGGACGACGCTGGGCCAATTGTGCGCCGCCCCATGGGTCTCCCAGTCGCGGCCGGCTGCGACAGAGCCTGGATTCGAACCAGGATCTCTAGTGGCACAGCTAGCACTGCGATGCAATGCCTTAGACCACTGCGCCACTCGGGAGATCTAATACTAATACTTTTTTGGCCTGTGTTTGTTTCTGCCTTGGCTTTTTATGGATTTACTAAGTTGGCATTGTTTGGTTTTCTAAGTATGATGTACGGTACCATAACCTAAGTTTGATAGATGGACAAAAGCTTGTTAGCGCAAAGGCTTTCTGAGGCAGGCTGAGGTGGACACTAGTATTGGTTGTGTAGCCTATTTGCATGCTGTTGGCAGGTTAGGCAGTCAGTCACTCAAATGAATGAGCACATTGATTTCCCCCAGGCCGTGAAGCTGACCAGCTCCCGGACTCAGCTTCCCTATGAATACTATTCCCTGCCCTTCTGTCAGCCTGACAAAGTGGTCTACAAAGCGGAGAACCTGGGTAAGTAAGCGGCTCTCCTCTCATGCAGAAGTGTTGTTCTATGCGTCTTGTGTCGTTGTTTGGAAGGTTTGCTGTTTGCTTGTGTACTGTGTTTATTTGCTAATGATTTGTCTTTGTATGTGATTCATAATAATCTGTTGCACCTAAAGGCCCACACCAGATACTCGTACTAACGTTGTAGTTCACTGTGTGTGTGTGTGTGTGTGTGTGTGTGTGTGTGCGCGCAGGTGAGGTGCTACGCGGGGACCGTATTGTCAACACCCCTTACTCGGTACTCATGACCCAGGACAGGAAGTGTGAGGCGGTTTGTGCCAAGCTGAAACTCAACGTGCAGCAGAGTAAGCTGGTGGCTGAGCGAATCCAAGATGAATACTATGTTCACCTGTGAGTGCCTTTCCTCATTACTCTCGCTCGCTCTCTTCTTTAGAGAAACAGTCAGCAAGCCTGTGAATCATCTCCCAATGGATCAATAAAATTAGGCAGCGCATTTATCAGGTTTCTGTGTAAAATGCTGCTGTATGCTCCATGTTAATCCTCTCTATAAACTCCCACAGCATTGCAGACAACCTCCCAGTGGCCACGCGGCTGGAGTTCTACCCCAACAGAGAGGCAGGGGCTGAGGAGAAGGATGTGGTGAAGGATGTTCAGTTTGAACACGGCTACAGGTTGGGCTTCACTGAAAACAGCAAGGTACTGAACCTCTTTACAAGGGCCTATCTAAAGAATGGAGAGAGAGCATGGACAAATCCGTATGAGATTAGGGGAGTGGAACTCTGAATCTTTCTTGTATCTATTTGACTCCCTACACTTTTCAGATATAAAGAAAAGGCAGTCTGAAGAAGTGGTTAAAGACTGCAGAGTTTTGTCTAGATATAAAAAGTGTTTATAGAAGAGATCTTGTGGTTCATTAGAGTTATCTTTAGGGCAGGGGTTCTTAACATTTTCCAGCTTGAGGCTTAAATGAGTACTTGACCGTCCACCCGTGACCCAACTCGTCCTCCAACGACCCAAATTAAGAAAAAACTGTTTGTGATTATAGATGTGTTCTGATAACTCACGATCCACCTCTCACATGCCCAAGGCCCACTTTGGGTCCCAAGTCAACCCATAGTTTAAGAAACCCTGCTTTAGGATGTTTGCATTCTGTTGTCTCTACTATAGTTCTACCTACACATCTACCTGTCCTACATTCTGTTGTCTCTCTACTATAGTTCTACCTACACATCCACCTGTCCTACATTCTGTTGTCTCTCTACTATAGTTCTACCTACACATCTACCTGTCCTACATTCTGTTGTCTCTCTACTATAGTTCTACCTACACATCCACCTGTCCTACATTCTGTTGTCTCTCTCTACTATAGTTCTACCTACACATCTACCTGTCCTACATTCTGTTGTCTCTCTCTACTATAGTTCTACCTACACATCTACCTGTCCTACATTCTGTTGTCTCTCTCTACTATAGTTCTACCTGTCCTACATTCTGTTGTCTCTCTCTACTATAGTTCTACCTACACATCTACCTGTCCTACATTCTGTTGTCTCTACTATAGTTCTACCTACACATCTACCTGTCCTACATTCTGTTGTCTCTCTACTATAGTTCTACCTACATAACCACCTGTCCTACATTCTGTTGTCTCTCTCTACTATAGTTCTACCTACATAACCACCTGTCCTACATTCTGTTGTCTCTCTCTACTATAGTTCTACCTACATAACCACCTGTCCTACATTCTGTTGTCTCTCTCTACTATAGTTCTACCTACACATATACCTGTCCTACATTCTGTTGTCTCTCTCTACTATAGTTCTACCTACACATCTACCTGTCCTACATTATGTTGTCTCTCTCTACTATAGTTCTACCTACACATCTACCTGTCCTACATTCTGTTGTCTCTCTACTATAGTTCTACCTACATAACCACCTGTCCTACATTCTGTTGTCTCTCTACTATAGTTCTACCTACACAACCACCTGTCCTACATTCTGTTGTCTCTCTCTACTATAGTTCTACCTACACATCCACCTGTCCTACATTCTGTTGTCTCTCTACTATAGTTCTACCTACACATCTACCTGTCCTACATTCTGTTGTCTCTCTACTATAGTTCTACCTACACATCCACCTGTCCTACATTCTGTTGTCTCTCTACTATAGTTCTACCTACATAACCACCTGTCCTACATTCTGTTGTCTCTCTCTACTATAGTTCTACCTACACATCTACCTGTCCTACATTCTGTTGTCTCTCTACTATAGTTCTACCTACACATATACCTGTCCTACATTCTGTTGTCTCTCTCTACTATAGTTCTACCTACACATCCACCTGTCCTACATTCTGTTGTCTCTCTACTATAGTTCTACCTACACATCTACCTGTCCTACATTCTGTTGTCTCTCTACTATAGTTCTACCTACACATCCACCTGTCCTACATTCTGTTGTCTCTCTACTATAGTTCTACCTACATAACCACCTGTCCTACATTCTGTTGTCTCGCTCTACTATAGTTCTACCTACACAACCACCTGTCCTTCATCATCTACTACCACAAGGAGAAGGTGGAGGAGGAGGAGGAGCATAACTACAGAGTTGTACGTTTTGAGGTGGTTCCCCAGAGTGTCAAGGTGGAGGGTAAGTTCCACAGATTCCTGTCTGAGGTAGGAACGGGTTATTTCAGGTGGTTCCCAGAGTGTCAAGGTGGAGGGTTATTTAAGCCCAATAAACAGTGACAAGCGTTAGAAAATACAGGAGTGGAGGCTGCTGAGGGGAGGACGGCTCATAATAAGGGCTGGAACGGAGCAAATGGAATGGCATCAAATACATGGAAACATATTGTTTGATGTTGATACTTTCCACCTGTTCTGCTCCAGTCATTACCACGTGCCCCTCCCCAATTTAGACGCCACCAACCTCCTGTGAAATACAGCGTGTGTTTCTGTCCTTCCCCCTCAATCTGTCTGTCTGGATCCCTTTGCAGACCTGAAGGCTGATGATAAGGGGGCGTGTACCCTGCCTGAGGCCACTAACTCCGCTCCTCAGGAGATTGACCCCTCCAAGGAGAATGAGGTTCTCTTCACCTACTCCGTCCACTGGGAGGTAAGTGGCATGGACTTTCCCTTTATGTTTGACCGTTAGGTCTCAGCAATGGCAAAGATTTAGAATGTTCCTCTGTAAAATGTGTTGAGACGTTGTGGTGCACTTTAAATAGAATGTGCCTTGACTTGGCTGGCTACATTGATTTTAGAGGACCTCTTCACTGAGGAATGTGGTTATTTGTTTTTGTTCAATATATTTTTCTTTGTGCGTTTGCTAGGCTCCTGCCTGGATTGTATAATTGCTTGTCTTGTAATGCAAGGTTCTCTAGATGAAGAGACCGTGGTCTCATTGGGACGCCCCTTCCTAAGAAATTGAAATTGACCCCCTGTTTGTCTCTCCCCTGTAGGAGAGCCAGGTGAAGTGGGCATCCCGCTGGGACACCTACCTGACCATGAGTGACGTGCAGATCCACTGGTTCTCCATCGTCAACTCAGTGGTGGTGGTCTTCTTCCTGTCCGGCATCCTCAGTATGATCATCATCAGGACCTTGAGGAAGGACATCGCCAACTACAACAGAGAGGATGACATAGTAGGAGACCACACTCACTCATGAATATGAGATGGCTTTGGCATTTGACAGCACTTTGTCTGTGACAGTAGCTGCAGAGAGACTCTCAGTTAAATAAGTGTGAGACTGCAGAGAGATTTGGATTTAAAATGCTGCATGTGTTGTGTTCACACTCTAAAGAAGAGTATTTGCTTCTTCATGTTGTGTGAATGGATGCGGGTAGTGTGTCTGTAAAATACCAATGTCTATCTTCGCCAGGAGGACACCATGGAGGAGTCAGGCTGGAAGAATGTCCATGGTGACGTGTTCAGACCACCACAGTATCCCATGATCCTCAGCTCTCTGCTGGGCTCAGGCATACAGCTCTTCTGCATGATCCTCATCGTTATCTGTGAGTGTGCTGTAAACAGACTCTTAGAACCTCGTTTCAAAAGTATTCTATCTACCAACTGCCATTTCCATCAATGATGTGTATTGTAATCTCTGGATAAGGGCCATCCATCACAACTGGAGATGAAAGTGTGGTATTGTGTCACTGTGACATGGGGCTGAAGCTGCAGTGTTTTATCTGTCCTGTAGTCGTGGCCATGTTGGGGATGCTGTCTCCTTCCAGTAGAGGGGCCCTGATGACCACTTCCTGTTTCCTGTTTATGTTCATGGGGTGAGACACGAGAGAGTCACCCACCTTATGTCTCTGGCCCAATCCCAAATGGACCCCTAAGCACTTGTGGAGATTTGATCAGTATAAGCCATATGGTGAAAGTTGCCCCTAGCCCGTCAGAGGGCATGGTAGAGGGAGAGATTTCTAGATGGCTTACACCTATCAAATCCTCTCAGAAATCCACCCGTAAATTGGGCGTAGTATAGGTCTTATGGGTCCCTTTGGGGTTGGGCCTTCTGGCTGTGGTCTGTCTGCTGTCTATACACTGTGGGAGAGCCGTCAGTATGACTGTTTTCTCTTCCAGTGTGTTCGGTGGATACTTTGCTGGCAGGCTCTACCGCACGCTGAAAGGCCATCGGTGGAAGAAGGGAGCTTTCTGTGTGAGTACTTCAAATGGACACTATCAACAACTAATGGTGTATGTTTACCCTGTATGTTTAAGCAAACTTAGTGTCCTGTTGCCTACTATTGATGTGTGACTCTCCCTGCTCTGCTCTGCCTGCAGACGGCCACTCTGTACCCTGCCGTAGTGTTCTCCATCTGTTTCGTTCTCAACTGTTTCATCTGGGGAGAACACTCGTCTGGAGCGGTGAGATAGCTAGTCTCCTATATACAGGATCACTGTATAACATCAACACATTCACTGTCAGAACTAGGACCGGTGTTGGTGTGTACCACACAGCATAATAAGGACTGTATCTCTTAGTTGAACTAGGATAGTGATGTCTCCTCAGGTCCCCTTCACCACCATGCTGGCTCTACTGTGCATGTGGTTCGGTATCTCGATGCCCCTGGTGTACCTGGGCTACTACTTTGGCTTCCGCAAGCAGCCGTACGATAACCCTGTCCGCACCAATCAGATCCCTCGCCAGGTGCCCGAGCAGCGCTGGTACATGAACAAGTTTGTGGGGTGAGTGTCCTGTCAAGCCTGGCTACTTCTCTGCTCTGGAGCGATCAATGCGTTCTCTTCTTCTGCGTCAAGCAAAACATTTCCTCCATACGCAGTCACATAACTTGTCATTTTAAATCACTGTTAATCTAAATGCAGTGTCATTTCCTCATATGCAGTCACACAACTTGTCATAACATCTTTTTTCTCTTTTCAAAGAATCCTAATGGCTGGGATTCTACCGTTTGGTGCCATGTTCATTGAGCTCTTCTTCATCTTCAGTGTGAGTAGAAGTCCTCTCCTATAGCATGTATTGCCAGTTGGAATAGGAATTTAGAGGTGGACAAAAAGGGGGCCGTCGTTGGTAAAGTCGATCAAAAATCAATCCTGTTTGATTACAAGACACCGCTAGGGATGGGCGCGGTTAATCGAATATCCGGATATCCCAACGGACTTCAGTATAAACACTTTTGTTAAATACATTATTTTGGCCTATTTTAACAATGGAAAAAGCTTTCGTCTAAATTAAATTGTGTGTGTTACATGGTTACACACAAGGATATACCGTGACATTCGCAATACTTAATTTAATAAAACAACAAACGTTAAAATGTAGTGTTTATGTACGGCGCAATCAGCTACTTCAGACGTCACATGGCTTTGACAGAACATTGCCCACTTATCTGCTGTGGTGGCATTTTGCGTCATTCTGATTGGTCAAGAGAGTAGAGCAAAAAAAATACATGTTTTACTTTTGGGGCATTTCGACTAGCCCATCCCTAAACACCACCCAGGACAGAAGCAGAGCAAATGTCTTAGCTGGCGTTCTGTGACCAGGGCCTTATATCCTAATCAAAAAGCCTCAAATGTTCTGTAAACACCAGCCTGTACGAAGTCAAACCAAATGTTCTGTAAACACCAGCTTGTACGAAGTCAAACCAAATGTTCTGTAAACACCAGCCTGTACGAAGTCAAACCAAATGTTCTGTAAACAACAGCTTGTACGAAGTCAAACCAAATGTTCTGTAAACACCAGCCTGTACGAAGTCAAACCAAATGTTATGTAAACACCAGCCTGTACGAAGTCAAACCAAATGTTCTGTAAACACCAGCCAGTATGAAATCAAACCAAATGTTATGTAAACACCAACCTTTTACGAAATCAAACCAAATGTTCTGTAAACACCAGCCAGTATGAAATCAAACCAGATGTTCTGTAAACACCAGCCAGTATGAAATCAAACCAGATGTTCTGTAAACACCAGCCTGAGAGGCTTGTAGGAAGTCAAAACAAAAAAGCAGTGACAGCCAGAATCTGTGTTGTAGTACTCGAGTCCACATGTTGTGTGTCGGACACATCTTGACTCGGTCTCTGACAATGAGGACTCACAATTTCTTCCCGAGACCAGCGGAGTAAAAACCTCATCAGCTTCCATTCAGTCAGCGCATACAACCTCTTTGCCAGGCCAAATATCCACACTCCTTTAATGACACATTCATATCGTATCGCCTATTATAAACTGGGTGGTTCGTGTCCTGAATGCTGATTGGCTGACAGCCGATGTATATCAGACCCTATACCACGTGTATGACAAAACATGTATTTTTACTGCTCTAATTATGTTGGTAACCAGTTTATAATATCAATAAGGCGCCTCGGGTTTGTGGTATATGGCCAATATACCACGACTAAGGGCTGTATCCAGAACAGTCCTTAGCCGTGGTATATTGGCCATATACGAGAACCTGGGCTTCCTACTTTACTCGTAACATTACTGTCCTTTACTTTCGTAGAAAAATATCCTCGAACTTTGTCGCTCATCATCAAAACTTCCTTAATTCGCTGGTAGGGAAGAAGTTGCGCGCTCACTATTAGTAAAGGGAGACCGGGAGAAGTTGTAACCTCTTTAGTATTTTTGTCTATTTTAGACGTGTTTGGGTTAGTGATCATTTGTAGAGTGGCACTCTATTTTCCCTCAGCATGCAATTTTTTTCACCATTCTGAATGTCTAAAGCAGCCTTAAAGTATGGGTCGCAGACATGTTAAAAAATATATATGTTCTGAGTCTAACCCATGTTGTCTGCTGTACGTGGCTCTGATCCGCTCTGTGTTCTGAGTCTAACCCAGGTTGTCTCTGCTATATGTTCTGAGTCTAACCCAGGTTGTCTCTGCTATGTGTTCTGAGTCTAACCCATGTTTTCTGCTGTACGTGGCTCTGATCCGCTCTGTGTTCTGAGTCTAACCCAGGTTCTCTGCTATGTGTTCTGAGTCTAACCCAGGTTGTCTCTGCTATGTGTTCTGAGTCTAACCCAGGTTGTCTGCTGTACGTGGCTCTGATCCGCTCTGTGTTCTGAGTCTAACCCATGTTGTCTGCTGTACGTGGCTCTGATCCGCTGTATGTGTTCTGAGTCTAACCCAGGTTGTCTCTGCTGTACATGGCTCTAGTCTACGAGGTGTTGTCTGACTGTAAGTCCTCCCTCTGCAGGCCATCTGGGAGAACCAGTTCTACTACCTGTTTGGTTTCCTCTTCCTGGTGTTCATCATCCTGGTGGTGTCCTGCTCCCAGATCAGTATCGTCATGGTCTACTTCCAGCTCTGTGCAGAGGTGAGGCGGTGCCCTGTTGTGTGGGTGCTGTGATTGTATATGTGGCGTTGCATAGTGAAAACAGAGGTTCAGAGAGATTCAGATATTAACTTCTCAACCACAGTAGTTCAGTAGAACTTGATAGAGACGGGAGGTCTCGTAGGATGATGGGTGGGTTGCCCCACTAGTTGTGATGTCACAGACCTACCAACTGTGTGGTCCTGTGTCTGTCTGTCTCCTGCAGGACTACCGGTGGTGGTGGAGGGCCTTCCTGGTATCAGGGGGCTCAGCCTTCTACGTCCTTGTTTACGCCATTTTCTACTTTGTCAACAAGGTAAACGTCGAAGACGTATTGAGATGAACTTTGGGATAAGTTTGAATAAGGTTGTTTAGCATGCTTACATTGGGTGGTCGCTGTCCTACAACAAGTTGACGTGTGTTTCTGTCTTCCAGCTGGACATTGTGGAGTTTATCCCTTCCCTGTTGTACTTTGGTTACACGGCTCTCATGGTCCTGTCCTTCTGGCTCCTTACGGGGACAATCGGCTTTTACGCAGCGTACATGTTCATACGGAAGATCTACGCTGCCGTCAAAATCGACTGAGTTTGTTTCAGCTGTATTTTTTTTGTTGTTGCCACATTCTTTTTCATTTTTTAAATTGTATACTTTATGTCGAGCAAACACTGACTTGTGTGTATGGAAGCAAGGAAGCGTGAGGTGGTGTTTGTGGAACAGTGCCCCCCCATTGGCATGGAGCGAGAACAGCAACACGTCGCTGCCTGCAAACTCAACGATCTCCCTCCCTCCGTTATTGGATGTCCACAGAGACACAGCGAGATTTCCTCTGGGACAGTCAATGTTTCCTACTGTGTTTCACCGTGTACACACCATGGGCCAAAGCATGTCAAATGAAACAGTCTCTGTATGTTTTACGGTCTGCTTTTGGAGATGGGCAAGCCTGGGTTGCCCGGGAGGACTCAGAATTGCATTGGTTCAGAACTTCACGTTATCGTTTTAAAATCAGTTCCCTGTAAGATATTTTAGTCTGACTTCTTTCACTCTCTCTCTGTAAAGTTAGTTTATTTTCTTTATTCCAGATACTTTTATGATCAGAGGATGGTTGGGAGGTCACACTTGTAATGTTGCTAATAAGTTGTTCTTTATTTGCTCTGAAATTATGCTGGGAAATGGAAATCTAACATTGGAACAGGCAAGGATATGCAGATATTTTTACTGCAGGTGTTTCCTGATGTGACCATTTCAGCCACAACTAAAATCATAATCTCAATTTGTCTCTCACATTGAGGCAACAGATTGTCTAAAATGTATCTTAAAGCAACTGAATTTCAATGTGTAGAAGCATAAATTTAATTTTCTCTTTAAATACTATTTACATGAATGAATGAATGAATTAATTAATGTGCTAGGGAGGCCAATTTGGCTTAAGGTGGTTGAAATAGGAAATGTTATGGAATGAAAGTAAATGTCTATGAAAATTAGTATTCTCATCTTCAAATCACCTTTTATAATTTCTGGGCGTTAACCTAGGAGAAACAACGTGTTTAAAATGGTTGGACACATTGCCTAGCAATGCAATGTAAACTGCTCCATGGTCCCACTGAACTATGCATTTTTTTGGAAAAGGTTGAGACTGCTCTTTGGTTTCATAAAGGTCATGTTAAATGTTTTTTGAGTTTAGTGTCAGTGAGACACTGCTATTCTAACAGAAGTTATCTATCGGTTATCCCTGAGCATCAATGTCTTCTAGGGTTGCCTTAGAAACAAGATTCTGTAATTGAGCATCTAAATGGAGTACAGTTGTTTCCCATAAACAACGAGCCAAGTCAGTGCTGTATAAGATCGACAATGTGGTTTAGATTGTCGATAGGCTGACATAGTGTACCTTTTATGAACCTGTTGTATTGTCTGAATGGGCTGATTGTTCACTGGGTTTACTCTCTGTTACCCAGAGTTAGAATTCTCCACGAGTGGTTCACATCGTCTTGTAGCTGTAGTTGCTCTGATTGTGGAGACTGAAATGCTGAAGATCCTGTATGTTAAAACACTGTCCCTACACAACAGAAAGTGGGGTGAAGGGGATTCAAAACATTAAAGACCTTTCTGTCGTGGGCATATTTTACTCCCATTTACTTTATTCTATGGGCCAGTTCCTCAAACCCAGATTAAGCCTGGTCCTGGATTAAACATTCTCAATGGAGAATTGCCATTGAAAGGTAATTTTAGTCCAGGAATAGGTTTAATTTATTTAGGTCCAGGAAACTGGGTCTATAAGTTTGAGAGCCGACCTTTCAGGAACGCAACTTTTAGGTCGACATTATTACCCCACCAGTTTTTCCCTTGATCAAGAGCATAGAATCCTACGTGTGGACAGGCCGTCTGGTGGAGGTCTGGCACAGCTGAGGGTGTTGGGATAGAGCTGCACTGGACGAGAAAGGGAGGAGACCGGCGCTGAGGGGGAATTACTCCATGTAATGTAGTGAACCACTGAATTAATCGTACTTCTCCGCTCTCCTTTTAACTTTTCTCACTTTATCTCTTTCTGTCATTCTCTGCCCCTCTCACACGTTCACTTCCACAGTCAGTCTTGCATCAGTGTTTTTCTTCCCTCTGTAAAGCCTTGTTCAAACTGCAGGCGTTAATGCTCAAATCAATTTTGTTTTTCCAACAGCAACTTGCTGTTTGTTGTCCAAACATCAAGTTACTAATGACCAAATCGGATTGGAAAAAAAAAAAAAAAAATGTATGAACTCACTAACTGTAAGTCGCTCTGGATAAGAGCGTCTGCTAAATGACTAAAATCGATGTGTGTGTTCAGACAGCAGTCATTTGCTGACATGGCTATGCTAGTTGTCATAGTACCGACGGGTGTGCACAGTGGTGTCGGCTGATTGGTGGTGGTGCGCGTGCTTCCTATCACTCAGAAGTTATGTAGCAAGCAAACATGACCATGCCTGCCATGGACGTTTCCCAGTTGCTTTGAATGTTCGAAATCAGTGTAAGAACACTTTTAAAGCCTCAGGATTTCAAAACGAATCATATTTGGTAGGCCGCAGCAGTCAACTAGGTAGCTGTTTAGCTTTCCAGCACATTCACTCATTTGTTTGTAAACGATTAACAAGCTAGTTAGCTTCCACATGCTTTTGTCAAACTGCCAACAGAGTAGCTAGCAAGCAAGAAGATATGCCAAGTAAGTCTAAAAACCACTTGAGGGCAAATGAATCAGGTTTGACCGTTCAGACAAGTCACATGGCTGGGAATTCAAGCCACCTACGAAGGTGGTTTGAAATGTGGCTTGAAATATCAGATTCCATGTGCTTTTTGGCTGTTCAGACTGCAGGAATAAATAGGATTTGAGTCACTTTAAACTGCCAATGTGAACACGGCTTTAGTGTCAAAAGTGTTCCTGAGCTGCCAGATCTCACTGCTCTCTGATTCAGAGACAGATAGACTTCCTCTTCTGGCCCCAAACAAACAGATTTCAGGAGAGATTTTTCTGCAGATGTACATTTGACTGACCCGAGCCGTGTTTGAATGAGTGTCTACTATGTAAATACAACACTTTTGTTTTGCTGCAGTTTGCTGTAGTGGGGGCTCTGACTGTATAAAGATCATTTCATTGTTTTAGCCAAAGCATGATTTTTAAGAACCTGTTTCTTTCCCCCTTTTCTTTACAGAATGTCCAGTGATATAATGTATGAAACTAATGAAGTACTGATACGATGTTGGAATTTCAATACTCCTCCCTTATGTAGGCTATTCATTTATGACCAAAATGGTTGTCTGCATGGATTTTGTGTGTGCATTTTTCATATAGATAAAGCCAAAGTAATGCTTTCTGAAGTTCCATTGTCCTGTTCTCTCTGTGTTGTCTTATTTTTTATAAATACTGAACAAAAATATAAACACAACATGCAACAATTTCAAAGATTTGACTGAGTTACGGTTCGTATATGGAAATCGGTCAATTTAAATAAATTCATTAGGCACTAATCTATTGATTTCACTTGAATGGGAATACAGATATGCATCTGCTGGTCAAAGATACCTTAAATTTTTTTTGAAAAAGTAGGGGCGTGGATCAGAAAACCAGTCAGTATCTGGTGTGACCACCATTTGCCTCATGCAGAGCGACATCTCCTTCGCATGGAGTTGGTCAGGCTGTTGATTGTGGCCTATGGAATGTTGTCCCACTCTTCAATGGCTGTGTGAAGTTGCTGGATATTTGTGGGAACTGGAACACATTTTTGTACACTTCAATCCAGAGCATCCCAAACATGCACAATGGGTGACATGTCTGATGTGTATGCAGTCCATGGAAGAACTGGGACATTTTCAGCTTCCAGGAATTGTGTAGAGATCCTTGCGACATGGGGCTGTGCATTATCATGCTGAAACATGAGGTGATGGCGGCGGATGAATGTATGACAATGGGCCTTCGGATCTCGTCACGGTATCTCTGTGCATTGATATTGCCATCGATAAAACGCAATTGTGTTCGTTGTCCTTAGCTTATGCCTGCCCATACCATAACCCCACTGCCACCATGGGGCACTCTGTTCACAATGTTGACATCAGCAAACCGCTCACCCACATGACGCCATACACGTGGTCTGCGGTTGTGAGGCCTGTTGGACGTACTGCCAAATTCTCTATAACAACGTTGGAGGCGGTTTCTGGTGGAGAAATTAACATTACATTTTGTTTGTATGGAACATTTCTGGGATCTTTTATTACAGCTCATGAAACATTTTACATGTTGCGTTTATATTTTTGTTCAGTGTGTATATATATATATATATATATATATACACCTTTTTTCCCCTACCATACCATCCCTATCCTAATTGGAGTAAACTAACGGACAACAATACTTCTACTGCTACTTACAGCTATTTCGCTCACATCTGCAGTATGCCTACCTGTTGTTAAATAATTATACATATACCTGTAGTTAAATAATTATACATATATTCCTATTTTCTTCTTTCTTCAAGTGCTGGATTTTCACCCACAGCAGCCAATCCACCATTCATTCTGATCTGAACTCCAACCCTCCAATGTCCACAGATTAACCCATCTTTCCCAGTATAATGCCATTCTGATCTGAACTCCAACCCTCCCATGTCCACAGATTAACCCATCTTTTCCAGTATAATGCCATTCTGATCTGAACTCCAACCCTCCCATGTCCACAGATTAACCCATCTTTCCCAGTATAATGCCATTCTGATCTGAACTCCAACCCTCCCATGTCCACAGATTAACCCATCTTTCCCAGTATAATGCCATTCTGATGTGAACTCCAACCCTCCCATGTCCACAGATTAACCCATCTTTCCCAGTATAATGCCATTCTGATCTGAACTCCAACCCTCCCATGTCCACAGATTAACCCATCTTTCCCAGTATAATGCCATTCTGATCTGAACTCCAACCCTCCCATGTCCACAGATTAACCCATCTTTCCCAGTATAATGCCATTCTGATCTGAACTCCAACCCTCCCATGTCCACAGATTAACCCATCTTTCCCAGTATAATGCCATTCTGATCTGAACTCCAACCCCTCCCATGTCCACAGATTAACCCATCTTTCCCAGTATAATGCCATTCTGATCTGAACTCCAACCCTCCCATGTCCACAGATTAACCCATCTTTCCCAGTATAATGCCATTTTGCTATTTCCTTTTGCCATTTTACTGTGATGTCTGACGAGGGCCCTGAACCTCCCTATTTCTACCGATATTGCCCTAAAAAGAAATACTTTACCCTTTTACCCAAAAGTATAATTATATTTCCCATTGACTGATCTTGTTTTTTCAGATCCCCTAACAATACAGTTTGCAGGTCCATCTGAACCCTGATATTATGACACACAGTAACAACCATTCCTGGACCTGAATCCAAAAGCGATTCACCGATGGACAGTACCAGAACATATGTTCTATTGATTGTTTCCTCGTGGCAGAGTCTGCACAGGGCTGACTGTTCAATGCCCCAAATATTGAGTATTATTGTTGTAGCAAGTATTTAATTGAATAGCTTAAATTGAAACGCACGGATTGATGTGTACATTTTTATATGTCATTTCATAGACCCGATGCCAAGGTATTGGGACATCAAAAAACCTGTTCCCAACTGAATTTTATGCTGTATTACTGTCAAACCTTTTGACTTTATTTGAAACTGATACATTTTTCGATTTATACTAATCATTTTAAGCAATTTATGAATTTTAATGGATGTATAATTTTTCTCTATCAGTATATTGGAGTTTAGCCATATTATTTGCTGTAAGATCTGCCTTTTCTGGAGGATGAAATTGAAATTGTAGCCAACTATGACTTTATTTATAAAGGAGGATATTCTACTTATAAACAGGGATCCATTGTCAATCCAATGAAAATGAAAGGTTTTAATCTGTAAAAAGTCTTAAACATAGGATGGGTCTCTTAGCAGCTTGCAAGAAAACCAGTTTGGATTTAGATAGTTTTGTCACAATGGAGGCTTTAAGAGAAAGGTTTAATGCCTTAATATGTAATAGTTTTAACCCTCCAAACTCGTTATATAAATATGCTCGTTTAACTTTATCTGGTTTGTCATTCCAAGTAAAGTGAAATATTTAATCGGGAGACCACATGGCAATTTAAAGTTTGTATCTTTTCGAGACCCAATCCGTAATATAGTACACTTATCATAGTTGGGTTTTAGTCCAGAGAAACTGGAGAAATGATCCAAGTCCTCAATGAGGCCCTTCAAGGTTGAAGATTGAGGACTCAAGAGAAAACTAGAATCATCGCCTCACATTGATAATTTTGTCTCTAATCCCTCATTTTTAGCTCCTTAATGTTATAATTAGATCTGATTTTTAAAGCTAACAATTCAATGGCCATAATACATAGGTACAGTGGGGGAAAAAAGTATTTAGTCAGCCACCAATTGTGCAAGTTCTCCCACTTAAAAAGATGAGAGAGGCCTGTAATTTTCATCATAGGTACACGTCAACTGTGACAGACAAATTGAGGAAAAAAAATCCAGAAAATCACATTGTAGGATTTTTAATGAATTTATTTGCAAATTATGGTGGAAAATAAGTATTTGGTCAATAACAAACGTTTCTCAAGACTTTGTTATATACCCTTTGTTGGCAATGATACAGGTCAAACGTTTTCTGTAAGTCTTCACAAGGTTTTCACACACTGTTGCTGGTATTTTGGCCCATTCCTCCATGCAGATCTCCTCTAGAGCAGTGATGATTTGGGGCTGTCGCTGGGCAACACAGACTTTCAACTCCCTCCAAAGATTTTCTATGGGGTTGAGATCTGGAGACTGGCTAGGCCACTCCAGGACCTTGAAATGCTTCTTACGAAGCCACTCCTTCGTTGCCCGGGCGGTGTGTTTGGGATCATTGTCGTGCTGAAAGACCCAGCCACGTTTCATCTTCAATGCCCTTGCTGATGGAATGAGGTTTTCACTCAAAATCTCACGATACATGGCCCCATTCATTCTTTCCTTTACACGGATCAGTCGTCCTGGTCCCTTTGCAGAAAAACAGCCCCAAAGCATGATGTTTCCACCCCCATGCTTCACAGTAGGTATGGTGTTCTTTGGATGCAACTCAGCATTCTTTGTCTTCCAAACACGACGAGTTGAGTTTTTACCAAAAAGTTATATTTTGGTTTCATCTGACCATATGACATTCTCCCAATCCTCTTCTGGATCATCCCAATGCACTCT